ATAGCTGGCCAATCACAGCTCACCTCGCTTTTTCAGACCGATGAGTTTTGTAAAAATCGACGCGTTTCAGAAAGGCGGAGCATAGAGGAGAAACCTTAATGTACAGTATGTGGAAAATAATGTGTTTTTGAACCTTAAACCGCATAAACACATTTCATTACACCAAATACACAAAATAATGTTCTTTTTAGCAACATCATATGACCCTTTTAACTGTAATGATAAATGCAAAGTTCTGTCATGAAACTACAGATGGCGCAGGCCGTAGGTTCTAACTCAATCAGATATAATCACATGATTATTCACATGGCGCAGCTGATTGGTTTCCTTCACATCAGCAGCCAATGAGCTTGCTGCTCAACATTCAAATACTCAGCTAGTGCTTGCTGTAGCAGTTGCAGCGCGCTTCAGAAACCCTCCACCTTCCCCAGCTCCACCTGTATAGATCTGTACGGGGTAATTTCATGTGTGTTATATATGGGGGTTGTTTTATATATGTTATATGTGCAGCAGCAGTATTTCCTACATGCTCACAGCAGCACGTCTGTGGATGTATTGGCAGTAGCAAGTCTCTGTACTCGCTCTGCCGCAGCAGTAGCATAGCAGATCTATTCCGCCAAGACTAAACACATTATCATTGCCATGTATATTCCCATGCTAAACTCTCAGAGAGTTGTCATGACAGAACTATATTAGCATCCACAGCAACATGCAATAACAATCTGTTTAAAACGAGCACTGCAGTTTTGTCATCTGCCTCTTTAAATGCTCGAACTGTTTAAAGCAGGATGAATTCTGATTGGCTGCCAATGTTTTTTGTCGTTCATCAGCTGGAAAGTGACTCCAACGATATTGTTCCTCTGTGTTGTTATCATTATAGTTGTGGACTGTGTTATTTTTATGACTTTAGAATGATTTTTAAAACTATATCTTTTGTCATTATTGTTATAGTTATTGTTTTTGGTGTGAACAGGCCTTTAGCCATAACAGTGGCTTCAGGGATGAATTCACCCAAAAAAATGAAACTGGATTGGAACAAAATGTATAAAAAAAAAAAATTTGGGTGACTATCCCTTTAATATGGACCGTTGTGTGATCATTGTGATAAAACTCCAAAGGTCAGTAAAACGTAATACTGCCGTTTTCACGAACTCATCCCTGACTTAATTTCTGATGCTTTTTTGCAGTTTTCATTTACTGGAACAAAACGTGGTTCTGGTACACTCTTGACTTCAGTTAGCGCTGTAAGCGTCTATGTCGTAGTACGCGGATTGAAGCTGTGCTGTTTTGAGTCATTAAACGGGTCACCAGGTCCAGACTGAGTCCCGCCACCTTCTCACCGTTCACCTCTAATATCTCGTCCCCGACCCCGAGCAGCCCCGCGTAGAGTTTCTCCATATTGCTGTCACCCATTTCTTCAACGTACACCCCTTAAACATAAAGCCAGTTAGTCTTAAACTTTCTGACTATGTTCGAAGTGCATGAAAACGAGAGCGGGAGGTCACTCACCTGAGTCTGGCCTGCCTTTTCCTCGGGAGATGAGAAAGCCGAAGGGGCCGTTGGGGGGTCTGGAGAGCTCCAGCAGGATGGTGCCATCAGGGAAGGCCTGAGCCACGCGTCCCACCGGACGCACCGCACTGGGCTGCCCCACATCCTCTACACTCAAGGCACGCTGAAGACCCCTAAAAACACACACAGATTTATCTACTTAGAAAGACCAAAAAAGTGCAACAGAACTATTTTAGTGTCAGATTATATGGTGAGTTACTTATTATTTACTAATTATAATATATTATTTTGAAGTATGTTCATTTAAGCAGTTCTATTTTTATTTTTTATTATTTTCTTAGAAATTTGTGAGTGGTTCTTAACAGTGAAAGTTTCTACCACTAGGCCAGAGGTGTTGAAAAATATTTTTAATGTGTTGCTATGCTAGTTACTAGGAGGTATTGTGTGGTTACTAGGTGGATATATTTTAAAATTATATTTATATATTTATTTGTAATTAAAATTATATATTTAGAAATATATAATTTGATAAATTAAAATGATATAATAAATGTTACATATATTAAGTATTTATTTTTTATTAGTAGATAATTATATTTATAATATAATAAGATGTCATTTTAAAATAAAATTATATAAACAGACACACTGGGCCATATACCATGGTAGTATTTGAATACTACATTCATATACCATGGTATTTGAATGGTATGGCACTCCCAGGTACTGCAAAGAAAACCATGGTTTCACAATAAAAAAAAACATGGTAGTATCATTGAACCATGT